GGAATTCATTGTGACTGAAAGGAGAATAAAGTACATATTCCCCAGATCTTATCACTGTGACAAGATGGGAGAGGAAGGGGCAACAATGGTACCTGAGTGAACTTATTTAAATCTTTTGTTAGGATTAAAAGAAAATAAAATTTCATCATGAAATAAATAGAAAGATTCTCTTCAATTTCTGAAAGTGATACAGCAAAACCAGCTTTATAGCTACTTCTAAGTGAACTGTGCAGCTTTATGTAAACTAAAAAAGAAATAAATAAGGCTTATTCTGTGCAACGGAGAAAATGAGATGATTCATATGTTATTAAATTAATACTTCTCATTATACAAAGAAATCTAAAATTTACAGCCAAAGAATAGAGAACAAACAAACTCCCACAAATGTTTAATTGTGCTTAAAATGCCACAGAATAATTCTTTTTGTACCATCGAAGCTTCCTATCAAATTTATTCCCCAAGCTTGGTGAGCCAAAGTTTTCAAACCACTGAACCTAGAAAAAGACTAATTAACTGTTTCTTCTGTTATTCGCTGCAGGCCCAAATTATAAGGAATAACATACACTCTAATAGAATAAGGCCTTTTCTTTTATTCCATTTAAGAAAAGCCTACTGATGAAAATCAGTTCCTCAAAGGATGATTTTTTTCCGAACTATTGAGTTGAAAGGTTTGAAGAATGTCAACAGTAGCAAAACACTTAATAATGTGATTTTAAATCATTAGAGTGCTAATGAGACAAATAACTCAGTTTGCCAGTTGTATACCAACTGTAAAAAGGAAATATCTCTCCGGTGGACCAATGGATACACGACATTTGAATATGCTTTGTGAATGCTGATCGTTACTGCAAGGGGTTTCCCTCAAAAACACTCAGGGATTTTTGGAGGAAGATGACAGGGAGGATGGGCAGAGTCGTTAATGAAATGGAAATGCATCATAGGTACATTGCATAAAACGAAACAATAAGAGAGGTTTCTCATGCTGCTGAGCCAATGGCCTAACAAAATCATGAGAACTCTCCATCTGGCATGGAACAACACTAAAAATAGCCTAATCTTATTTAGGGATTTATCAGGCTATTAGTTGTGGCTAGTAATGTCAGAAAAAAATACCGTTTTGATTCACTAAAATTTGAAAGTCCATGCCTATTACAGTGTTTATTTGGAAATAATTTCTACATGGTATAAAATGTATTACTTAATTTTGTTATGGTAAGCACAATGGAAATCACAGTTATTTAAGAAAAAATAGATTTTATTAAAAGGAAAAATATATATTTTATCTTTTTAAAGCAGCATTTTATTTTATTTTTTGCAAATACATGACTGGAAAGCATGAACTAGTTGTCATGAAAAGCATCTTATAAAAACCTAACAGTCAGAAATAAAAAAATATTATGTCAAAAATTTTTGGTGACATATCACTTCTTATACATTCACTTGCCTTTTAATTTTATTTAACAAGTTGATTTAGAAATGTTGCTCAGATTTCTGGAAGGCACATTCAATGGAAAGAATTAAAGGACAACCATCTAAGATTAGAGAAAGACAGGATATGAAAAAAAGAATGTGAACATTGGAAACATGACCCAATTATTAAGATCTAAAAAATTCTTCCAGTTCTTCCCATCAGTATTCCTGGACTCCATCTGTACTTGGACAATGGGAGCTGAATATCAGGGATGAATATCAGGGATCTAAGATTATTATACTCTCAAATGCCAGCACTTCTGGGTGTTTTAGATACTCTACAGTTGTGAGACAGGATCAGTGACTCTACGCCCATTTACATCAAGGCTTCTTTTAGCTTTGGACAGAAAACATTTTAATTTAACTTGGATTCTCTGATCCATAAAATCATTTGTCCCCATAGTGTTAGATGTTTATTTTATGGCAACTAAAAAACAATAGTACTTTTCAGAAGTGCTAATAACTAGCTAGTTAACTCTAAGGATACTTAAGGATACTAAGGATACTCACCAAAGATGTCCCCAGCCTTCTGCCAGGCATGTGGGAAAGTCCAGACAGTGCTGAAAAAGCAGCTGCTTGACTCATGTTCAAGTTGCAAAAATCATAATTAAATCTAGCTTTCTGTTATCTCTCTGAACTGACCTGTCCAGAAAAAATATTTTAGGGCATATCTGCTAAATTATATTTCCTGTGAAATAAATTGTATGATGATGACTGCATTATCATACACTTAGTTCATCTGGTTTGGAAAATTTGTCTCTATATTTCCAAATATTTAAGAGAGAGAAAACCTCCTTCACAGCCCATGATGTTATAGGCTGTATCGTAGGACCCACACAATATTATAGGCTGTACTGGGTTTTGCTGGGATGGAGTTTATTTTCTCCACAGTAGCCCATGTAGAGCTATGATTCAATGTGTGGTTGAAACAATGTTGATAACACACCAGTGTTGTGGCTATTGCCAAAGGCTTTCTCTCCTTCTATTTTGTCCCTTCCTGTCCCAATAGCAAGTTGGCTGGGGTGGGTAAAAAGTTGGGAGGGGATCCAGCCAGGACAGGTTGCCCCAAATGACCAAAGAGATATTCCAGATCATATGGTGTTCTGCAATAAAAGCTCAGGGAAAGGAGGAGAAAGGGGTCATGGTTATGACATTTGTCTTCCCAGGTAACAGCTACACATGATGAAACCTTGCTTTCCAGGAAAAGTCTAAACATCTGCCTGCTGATGGGAAGTATGAATGAATTCCTTATTTTTCTTTACTTGCATATGCAGCATTTGCTTTCCCTATTTAACTGCCATTATCTCAATACACAACTCTGATTGTCCATCTCCTATTTTTATTCCTGACCCACATCAGAGAGGAGTGAAAAGAGTGTTTTGCTATTGACCAGAGTCAATCCACTACATGCTGTCACTAAACTGTTTTGGGAAGGTTCCCTGGGCGAGGAGAGGATGCACACACAAGCAAACATGTATCTGGCCCAGTGACTACAGCATCTTTCTAGCAGAGGAAACATCACAAAATGAAACCAAAATAACTTAAACTGAATTAATCCTAAGAGCAAGAAGGAAAACAGAGGTCTCCCAGCCCACTCTCCCAAAGAAGAGAGAAAGAGGTAATTTGATCATAGTTTGTCTTTGTGTCTCATTTTGGAGAACATTCAAGCGTACAAATCCTGATCATAAGGAAATGCCTATTTGTAAGGTAGAGACCCAAAGTCCTGTGGGGCACTATGGTGGCCTGGGCTCAGCAGATACACTTGACCTTGACCTTTCTTATTGGCTAGTCTAAATAAGTCCTTCTATGATAGCGCTGCTGTGTGTCATATCCAAGAGAAATAATTCTTCCCAGGCATCAGGTAAGAGCAAGGTGACTAATTCAGAGTTGTCTATTTCTAAAATAAGCACCCTCTGTGTATTTATCTAGTTTCACATCATGTGTTGGAGATTGAAATAGCTCACAGACACTCCTCAGTCTACTGTCAATATTTCTCTTGAATGTGTTTGGTCACTTGTTCTTTATTATTTAAGAGAAAGGAACACTACTAAAAAGTGGTATAAAAGTGTGTAAGTATTGATAGACTGTTTTATGGGAATAAATCATATAGATTGAGCATCTTGCCACTAGTGGAATTGCATCTGTATTTAGGAATTCTAACACTGTAGCTGCAGAGTATCCTGGGCACAGGCCCAGCACTGAAAATGAGAACTGTGGTTCCCTGTGTCCCTCAGAAGAACTAGAGAACATTAAGAGTAAAATGTTTCATCAAAAAACAGGAGAAAAGCTAGACGGCCCGATTGAAAGTGAGACTATAGCAGATGGTTCTGATGTTAGGATGGAAAACTGAGACAGAAATGATAGGAAACCTCTTAAGAAAGCTGAATGCAAATGAACAGAGAAATTTTATTTAACTTTTCCACCCTTTCCAATGGTTGATATTCCCAACAAGGGATTTAATTCTCTTCTGTTTTACAGCACTGTCATTCTATTAAATTATTCTTGGCTGTGATCTTTACATGTGCTCTGCACTATAACTTCTAAGTTTTATGAATTGGCAATAACAAACAAACTGGCCATGACAACCCCTATTAAACTCCTTCATCATCAACAGTCTTCTGAAAGATAGAACCCAGCAACATGATTGGTGTAGGTAGATAAATAATTAGGTCTATGCATTGGTATCATAAGAAACAGATGTGGACAAAACACGACAGATGAGAGACATTAATTAGGAGCTTTAAAAAGATAACTAAGATGATGCAAGAAGAAAGATTAGATACTGGCTGTCTATCTTTGTGCTATTTGCTTTTTTTGGCTCCAGTCATTTAAGCCTGTTACTCTCTTTGTGATGTGTTTGCTTTGTCTTTCTCTGTGTCCTTTACCTTCAACTATAGTTGATTTTACAGTCTAAAATGACAATAATAACAAATGCTTCTAGAAAAACAGATTTTTTAAACTCTAATAAAAACATGCATTTATTTTAGTACAACTTTTTTCCTAGAAGTAATACAAAAGAAGAGACATTAATAAGAAAATATTAAGTCAATTAGTTTGAACTGTTATTTACCATGAGCAATTTTCATCTACAAAAGAAGTATAGACAGACAAATGAAGAGCTGTTTGCATCATTTTAATATTACATTCTTAAAATTAATACCTGTGCATCTAGGTATCTTTCTAATAAGTTAGCAGGGTGCACACTGCTCTGAAAAGAAATATTCATACTTTATGTCCCTGGTAAGGAGGACAGCTTTAATGAAATAATTTTTTTTTCCAGAAAAATCAGGAACGATAATGGCACTCAGGTGAATTATAGCATGTTATATACACCTAATTTGTAGTTTGTACTTGAACACATATACTGTAACTTACTAAAACTAGGTTTTCTTTGGAAAAAAAAATTAACTCTGTAACTGTAAAAGATGTGATTAATTTTCAGATCTGTTTATAACTTCTATGAGATACTGAACAGAATTTCTATATGAAAATAAACTCTGCATAATAATAAACAAAACTTTAATACTTACATAAGGGATTGTGTCCAAGGTGTCTGTGTTGACAATTATAGGGGCAGGGCTTGCCTGAAAAAAAAAAAAAAACAGAGAAAATAAATTTAAAGACCTGAAATTCATTAATATTGAAATACCCATAATGATACATTAAATTAAAAGTCTAAAAGCCTGTCTTCCCATTGAATTCAAATTGTACAACCGTACATAACTTTGGGTACTGTTCAAGCAATTAAGGATGAAGGAAATAGATTCTCAGCCTCCAAATCACAGCTCACTGTGGTCTTTCTTTTCAATTTCATTAGGCTTTGGATCACATCCTGAATATATAATATCTAGTCATTCATTTTTTAGTAGAACTATAAGAAACCTGATGTATTCAACTTACAATTAGGGGATGTTGGGGTTGAGGGTTTCAGCTTCCCTACCTTACAAGTCCATCTTTCGTGTGTGAGCAGAACCAAGATCTTTACAGAGGATAAACATCAACATTTAATGTGTACACTACTTAGATCAACGCTGCCTTCGTACAATCCTAAACATCCACTGGGCAGATTATGTGACTAATACATCTGTTCTAGAACAAGCAGCAGTCACAACTATTGAGGCCATGTTGCTGAGAACACAGCTGCGATGGGCAGGACACGTCTCAAGGATGAAGGACCACCACCTCCCTAAGATCTTGCTCTATGGTGAACTTGCCACCGGCTGCCGCAACAGAGGAGTCCCAACGAGAAGATACAAGGACTCCCTGAAACAACATCTCAGCCTCGGCCATATTGATCAACATAACTGGTCTACTCTGGCCTCCAATCGGGAGGTCTGGAGACACACTGTCTATAACGCTGCTGATGCCTTTGAGAGAGCACGCAGGATCACTCTCAAGGAGAAAAGACAACGCAGAATGAATCGTGCCCTGCAGAATTTACCACTTAACGAGTCTTTCTGCTTTGCCTTTTGCAACTGGACGTGCCTGTCTCGTATTGGCCTTTTTAGTCACCAGCACACTTGCAGCAAACGTAGGTTGAGACCTTTCCCAAATCTTTCTTCACGAAGCCTGGCCATGATGATGACTTAGAAGTATTATATAGGCTATGAAGTATATGTATATGCACATGTACTATGACATTTATGTCAAGGCTGTATATTCTGGATGGTTCATATGCACTCAGCTGAGGTTCAGATTGAAATATAGATCCAATTAAAAAGATTCGTGACTCTGCAAAGCTGGCCAACCTGATCTTTAATTTATTGATGAAACTCATATTCAGGCTAGTTTCCAGTCACTTGAAGTGCCCTAACCTCTTCCTCTTCCCACGCTGGGATTCAGTGGTACAGATCCAAGGCTGAGCTCTGATTTGACGCAGCTGCATAATCTTGGCTCTGCCTCTGGAGAAAACCACAGAGTTGTGAGAAAGTGTAGGCCAGAGGCAAGCACCATCACTAAAATGTCAAACCGAGGAAGGACTGCTGAGATGAGATTGTTAATAACTCGGGCTCAAGAGAAGGATCAACAGGTAGTCAGTACTGTACAAAAGTGATGGAAGGCATCCCTTCTCTGCTTGACTAGTGCCTGTTTGGGCAGCAAAGACTCTTCAGGCACTCTCATGGGGTGGTAAAAATACTAATGCTTGGCACAGTAGCTCACTAGTTCTATTTACCTACAGTGTATATTTGTCAATGAATGACTGTCTGTACTTTAAACTCATACAGATCGCAGTGTCTTTCTATGCATGGTAGGCATGAACACGGCACTACTGAAAACACTGATGGTGTTTCTATTGTCGAATATTCACTGCAGGATTTCAAAACCTAAGTAACAACCCAAATTAAGAATGTGACATTGGAGCAACAGTTCAAATCCTGTGAGAATATAATGGGGTGGTTTTTTTCTAGTTTTTGTGCAATTATTGAAAGATAATTCTGTGTTCAAAGAAATTATATGTTACTGGACAAGAGCTACTGCTGATTAATGCCATTATTTCTATACAATGGTGGAAGCCACGAATAGAAACTGAAATGCATACAATTTGGTCTGTCTACATTTCATGGCATGTACCAGTTGTCATGGTAAGGTCCAATGTAATAATAAAATGCTTAGTATCTGAAAAGACATTATACATCCATACCCAGTTATTCTTACTGTGTCCCATAACACTGGACACGCTGAAGAGATATGTACAAGCTGAAGGCTGTATGATCATAATATTTTTTTGCTTCAGGCATATGGATTTATTTATAATTGTATTATCATTGAAGGTTATACAAAGGATTTCCTTTTTAGAATCATAGTTTTTACTTTAATGAATATTTAACTCCATACACTTAAAGAGTGCTACCTTTGCTACACGAAGAAAAAACTTGGGGCTTTTTATAGTATTGATGCTACCTTCTTTTTATTTTTACCAACTATGTTGGTCTATTATCAACAATAAACAAAGTTTGGAATTTTCAGAATAAAAGCATCTTTCCACTGATTTAAAAAAACAATACCTATTAAAATAAGAAATATATTTCATATATTCATTTTCCAAAGCACTATCATATTATCACCAATCTCTTCTAACCTATTGAGGAACAAAGCCTTATATCTGTATCAGATTTTTCTGAAGTAAAGTTAAAGAAATAAGAAACTAGCAAATGTGTAAACACCACAAAAAAATAACATTTAGGAGAATTGTAATTTCTTTTGAAAATTCAGTTATTCCTTCCTCTTATAAGCAGATGCAGAACCTGCACATTCTTCATCCTGCACCCTTCTCTAAACATCCTCAGATGGTTTAAGATAGCAAATAGATTCTTTCCACAGACTATTCTTTTCTAAGGCAGACAAACTGAGCTTTCTTTTCTATTGAATATTCTGTGCTCGGACCCAGTCACTGTTGTGTGCACCACCATCTTGGTTATCCTCCACACACTTTAACACAGTGGAGAATATGGATTTGGATACAGTGCTCCCAGTGCAGTGTGGCAGGTGATGAGGAGATGTCCTTCAAACTGCTGCCCAGGATGTTATTAGTGCAGCCCAATTTGCCATTTGCCTTAACCACTGTAAGGGCTGACTCATGTGCAACTTGTCCTCCACTCCATAAAGTTGCACCTTAGCTGAACTGTGCCTGGCTAGGACCGCTTCAGGTTTTATACTGTCCCAGGGCAGGAACTCCTGCCCATTGAACTCTGTGATGTTTCTCTCAGCCCATTTCTCCTGTCTATTGAAAATCCTTTGAAAAGCAACTGTCCAATGTATCATCTGCTCTTCCCAGTCTGGTATTATTTCAAACCTTGCTGACAGTGCACTCTATGTAATCATTCTGGTTATTAATGAAGATGTTAAACAGTATTAGCACCCATATAAACTCTGTATGAAAACCACAAGAAACTTGCCATCAGTGACTGGACTTTAAACTGCTGACCATTATCCTTTGGATCTGGTGGTCTAGTCAGTGTCCCACTCATCTTCTAGTAAGTACATCCATCCATTCGGTTTCTCTCTCATGTGGCTGAACTGCGAATTTGAGCTGAAGGCCTTGATAAAATCAAGGCAAATGACAGCTACTGATTTTTCCTCCTCCACAGAGCTAGTCTTCTCATCACAGAAAGCTGTTAGATTGGCAAGGCAAAATCTAACCTTTGTAAATTGACCTCCCTCTGTGTAATCACCTTCCTCTGTCCTTCATGAGCCTTAATAAGACTTCCTGGATGCATCCACCAGAATGCTTCCATTTGTTAGCTTCCTACCTAATCCTGATCCCCAGGTTATCAGTTGGTCCATCATTCCTTCCACAGTAAAAATCTGAGCATTTGAAGCTGCTCTGAATGGTGTGATCCTTCCCTGATTGGCCCTTCTACACAGCCGGTAAAGAATTACTTTTCAAGCCAGAGTATTTCTCAGGGTTCATTTCAACACTGCTCTTATTGTACTTTTTACTGATTGGAAGAATTGAACTAAACTATCAAGCTGATTATTTTCTGCTACTGAGACATTTATCCTGATCAGACAGATGGGCATGAAAAAATTCACAGAGCAATAGTTTCAGATGGATATAGTGACTACAACCACTCTCACAATTAATACCATCAGTACATTTTCCTTTTCTGTTCCTCCTGTTTATATCTGTGCGTGTGTTTGCATGTGTGCATGTGTGGGACAGTGCATCTGTTTGATGACTTGTCTTTTTAGTTTTTTGGGGTTTGTTTGGTTTGTTTTCTTTAACGACAAAAATGATTTAATACAAACATTTTGCTTCGGTCTCTCTGATATATGGTAATTTGAAGAATGCTGACCTCCTGAGCTCCAACATTGGATTAAAGTGTAGGAAATGGAGATGATTTTATTAGCTGGGCCCTGTTTGTAGCTCATGCTTTAAAGAAAAGTAGGAGACTTCAATCATGCAAAATTGAGAAGACAGTTTGCAATCACTGGCATCAAAATAGTCCTGTAATCCCAGTGAAATTACTGAAGGGATAAGTCGAGACAATCAGCATCGACAGAGAGTCAGAAAGATTTCACCTTCCAGGATGATGTGTCTGTATCTATGCTGACTTGAAAACATGCCACATGTACCAGTTCACCAAATTCTCAAAAAAGATACTCAGCTATCTCTGTACTTCTTAAGGAGAACACTGAGAAATCTATCAACCACAACGCATCAACAGTACTTCCAATTGTGCATAAATTAACAAAGACATACAAAAAGTTGTCTAGATTCTCTCAAGAACCTCTGCCTACTGTCTCTTATCTCTCATAATCTATATACCCACCCATACATATATGCTCTCTATCTAGGTTTGAGACTGAGTAAGAAGAAGAAATAGCTTTCTGGAAAATAATTTCTTTATTCCTAGCTCTGCCCTTTGACCTGCTCTTCAGTCTTAACCAAGACATTGAATTACACTTTACTGAGGTTTTCCTACCTGCAAAATAAAACCAAACCAATCACCAGAAGAGTGAATATTACTGAGTACAGTAAATTGAGTGATCCTGTTTTCCTCATTCCTCATTTACTTTCCTTTATGCCCCCATCCTTAACTATACATTAAGTATTATAATAAACTGATAATGTATCATGTGG